TTACATAAATTGGTTCTGTGTTGTGATAGCTCTGTGAAGGGAGGAGTGTCTTCGCAAAGGGTTTACAAAGTTGTTTTTGGCAAATATAGCATTTTCAAAACAATAAAAGGTGACATGATGATCTAAATATGTTATGTTTTACAGTTAATACCCCATAGAAGTTAAATACCCTCTGTTTAAGAAACTGTAACTCCACCCTCATCCTGGCCCTAACCATCAATTTTTAAACCAAACCCTAACCCTAATCTGTAATAATTGAACTGTTTGATTAAATGTTTAACTCTAAATGGATATCATGCTGACCAAAAGAATCTTAACTGAAGTCCTTTCAACTGAAAACAATCTTATATTTCTGAAGATATTGTGAAAAAAATTATTCCACTTTTGTTTCTTTATGCTGCTGTAGTATTACAGATTGACCTATGAAACTGTGAGAGGCAACCACTTTACAGTTGCCATGGTTATGGACCTAAAAAGGAAATAAGGAAATATTTGAATGTTTAGCTACAAAAGATGCATCCCACCCCCATCACACCAGAGTTCTATTGTAAGATTTATGGATGTTCAAAGTTGAAATTTCTCTTAAAAGATCCACAAAGTTTCAACAAGAACAGAACTACTGACAACCTCTTTAATGAAAGAAAGAAGCTTTAGAGTGAAGTCTAAACATTGTCTATGAAGACATGGTTATTTGATTCAATCTCATCCCATCAATGACTTTCTCCACAGAAGCAGAAGAAGAGGAACGATGTAAATCCAAAAAATTGGCTCCCTGGAGCTGCAGTAGCTGAACCCATTTAAACTCAACACATAACCTGAGATAACTCAAGTTTGATCTAATCTCCAGTCTTTAGACACCAGTGTAGAGTGGCCTACACACTTTGCCAATTTCATATTGAAATGCTGTCTCTTCAACTTGGTCAGTGATGTTCATAAACCACAGTTTGCTTTGGTGAAGAGTCATGTTATTTCCAGATATGGGTCAATGATATGGTACAAGAATTTACAAACCTTCAAAGCATTACTTAATTCATTATTCATTCATTTAGATAATGATTATATTGGATTGGTAAAGTTTCTCAGTGTTTGTTAAGTGGGGCCTCAAACTCTTCTTTTTGTCAAAACTAAACATTTCTGCTTCAATTTAGACCTAAACTTTATCCAGTTATTATTATGATTATTATGATGATTATTATTACTATTACTTCACATAATCCCACCTCCATTTCACCAGAGAAGGACAATGGAAAGGGAGTTCTGAATGAGATTTACATGAGCCATGGCGTGTGTGTGTCTTCTGCCCGCTCAAACACACCGTGTGACGTGAAGCTGGGTAGAGGAGAGGAGGAGGAGTGAGTCAGGGGAGGGAGTGGCAGAGCCCCGCTGCCCCACTGAACTGTGAAAATGTGTGATAATGTGTGATAATGTGTGATAATGTGTGATAATGTGTGATAATGTGTGTGGGGTCTGTGCAGATGACAGCGGCGCCAGCTGAATGTTTCCTTTATTAACTTAATATTCAGTGATTATGGCATCAGCTTCTCCTTATATAAAACAAGACAGTGCCTTGAATACAAACCACTGTATTTATGAACTCCACAGACAGTTGTGAGTGATTCAGTGAGTAATATTACTTGATATTTCTTGGAAAAATAAAGCTAAGGTTTCTATGCCCATTGTGTATTGAACATAAACTTCCTTAAACTGGCTCCTTTCTCTTGTCTGAGTGCAGGTCACCTTTGCCTTGTCTCCAAAAACTCAGAGAGTACAATCCCACATCAAACCATTCCAAATTTCATATGAAACATCACAACATTTAGAGCCCCATTTTCTGCCTCTTGGCCAGGTCATCATCATGACTTGCTTGGTAAAATATTGAATAAATAAAAAATCAAAATTAATTTTTGTCATCGGGCCCCCAGGCCCCCACCACCATGCATACACCACTTTTATTATGCAATGTGTGTCTTGCTTAAGGATGCAAAAATTCTACAATTATGTGGTGCAACATAAACAAGCCTAATTTTGAAATGTACAATATATTTGAAATCCTGACATTACTGACTTACTTAAAAACTTACAAACAAGTTTTAAAAAATACAGTAAATATTTCTTAATAGTGTTAAAAGAATGACTGCTGATGGGACAAATCTGTTCGTGCCAAGTCAAAATTCATGATAAGACTCCACCTCATCACCAAAAATCTGGTAATTACTGCTGCTGCGTCACTGTAGCTACATGTTTGTTTGTGTGCCCATTTATCTGCTCTCTAATGATCTAATGATCGAATGATCTAATGATCGAATATTTAAAATAGCCAATTGATTTTGCAAGTAAACACATTCATAATTTGGAGTTATGTAAATGCCATTACAGGTCCTAAATTCTAAATAAAGGGGCACCTCTGTAATCAGATCACTTTTATAAGTAAAGGTTGAGTTTCTCTTGACTTTATTGGTACTTGCAGGTAGATTTGTTTTGCAGAGTTAAAACATGTATATAACTATTTGTTAAGAGCCGTGAGGAGGGACAAAACTGTTCCTATATCCTTTAGCTCTTCTTTTGGGGACCTGGAACTTTCGGTCTAAAAGGAGCAGGTGGAACTCCTGTGAGAGCGTTCATTAGTGTGAATTAGTGTTCTAAATTACATTTACTCTAAAAATGTGTATGTGTGAATAAATAAATGAACGAGAAACTAGTGAGGTCATGTTTTTCCCACTCTTCAGTATTGAATAACTTGTGTTATGCAAATAAACGTGCCTTGCCTTATTGTATGTTATAATTATGAACATGACATTATGTGTACCACAGTGTGCACTGCTTTTAAAGTACCACTTTCACAGTAATGCAGGTGGGTGTGTTGTGTAATACCCTTGGTAATGTTTTAATAGTACATGACATTATTCATGGTTTGCAACTTATTTACACAGTTATTGTTTTGTTAAGGTGCAGCTCCTTTGTCCGTGGATCAAGATTGTTGTTTTTTAAGCTCACAAGGTTTTGTTTTTCAATGGTGTGTGTCAGTCTGAATAGAAAAGTTTTCTTTAATGTAAGTCCTATGATTAACAGGTGACTGAACTCACCTTACAGCAGAGACAGACTCCGGACGTCTGTGATTTGAAATTCATTTGAAATTTGAAAATGAAATGGCATTTTTTTATATTTATAATAATATGAATACTACTAATAATAATACTAATACATAATATAATCACATATTTATTATTAAACTTATACTGAAGTTTTCTTCTGTCAGATCAATTTATTTGTCTTAACATGTTTGGAAAAATCACAAGTAAATGAACTGCAAATACACTTCCAGTCCAAAGTTTGGGTACACTTTTTCATTTATTTTTCTAGCTTTATTTCCATCATAGATTCTCATGGAATGTATCAAAACTATGAATGGACACATACGGAATGTAAAAACAAAAATATACTTAAAATAACTCAAAACATAGTCGCCCTTTGCTTGGACCACTGCTGGATTCATCAAGAAGCTCATGGAGAGAAGGCCAAGGGGCTACAGAACTGTCAACAAAGCAAAGGGTGGCTGCTGAGGATTTGAATGTAAAATATACAGAATTGTATGTCTTTCATATGTATCTAAAATGTAGAAAGTAAGAAAACCTAAATAAAAAATGGGAGGGTATATCCAAACTTTTGTCTGGTAGTGTAGAACTAAAGTAAAGTACCAAAAACTACTAAGTGAAAGAGTAAATGAATGTCTCTGGAGCGTGTGTTAACTCTGCTATGCCCTTTGGCAAATGATTATAGGTTTGGAGACTTTAGCCCATTATAGTAGGTGAAGGTTAAGCCCTTTAATTTGCCCTTGTTTAAACAAATTGCATTCATGTAAGTGTTTCATTAAGACGTAATGTCATGAACGAAACAATGATGAGCCATTTCCTGCTCAACCAGTTCCGACAAATCACGTCAATTACTACAATTTACAAGTAATGGAAACATAAATAACTAAAATACCCTTCAAAAGATATCTTAATTATAGTCTTTGTGTTCTCAAAATGAATTAAATGTGTTAATTTATTTGGTTTGTTACAATATATTTAAGATTTTGTATACGTATTCTTGCTCATTCATTTAGAATGATTGAACTTAGAAACACTTTGTTTTTATTTTTATAACATTAATATTAGAGCTGCTATATCATAAAGAACCAAACCTAAAGGTGTTTTATATGTATGTTTTTTGAAGGAAAGTCTGCCACCTTCTTCTCTTCACTGAGATGTTATTCATTTGCCTGGAAAACTCCACAGTATGACATTAAACATATGTATCTCCATGGAAACATGCTACAGGTCAGATCTGTGGAAAGTTACTCTGTAACTCTGCCGATATATTTGTATAGCACTTTCCAACAGACAAAACACACACATTTTGTTGAAATGATTAGACCTACTTTCATCAGAAAGTCCTACTTTTAAAACCACACTGTGGTGTGCATGACACATGTAGAAAAACATGTGTCCTGTGAGCTGCAGCTCCACAAACGCAATAGTATTAATAATGTTTAATGCAGATGAGGGGCAAAATGTCAAAATGATGATTTTTGTTGTAATGTTGTAAATTGTAAATGTTCTGGTTCATGATTCTAGTCAAAAGTAGAAATTCTCAGCTTCAACAGTTGCGCATTTACCTTTTAAATATATAAACATCACATACTGAAATCTGAAATCCACCACCGCTCATGGAATCAAGGAGAAAGTTACCCAATGTTCTTTTAAATTGTCAGATTGTTACTGGTTTCCCAGCCCTAACGTGCATCAGTCATATTTCATCAAAGAATGTTAATTATCAGTGTATTTGCTGTTAAAAAAAACTTGGGCGGTGATTCTCATAGTTGTTGGTAATTAAACCACTGTTGTGTTTTGTTTTGTTTTTACGTGAAATGGGTGTTCCCTTTGACTGCGTAATACCTTCTTTGCTTTGTCAAACGTATATAAAGAAGTGGCTCCTCTCATTTCACTCAGAAGCAAAGAGAAACAAACTCTACACTTCATCCTGACCGACCCAGAGCACCTGCTTGAAACACTTCACTCCAGGCAAAATGAAGAACCTGGTACAGACCTCTTCATCTTTTTAACATATAAATTATATTTTCAACTGTTCTCTAATTTGTCTGTTTTATCTTAACTTTTAGCTTTTACTCCTCTTGTTGGCTGGACTGGCCTGTGGTAAGTGAAATGTTAAAAAAATTTGTCAATTTGCACAGTTTAATTTTCATACCATTTCAGTTTGGTTAGTTTTATTGTTTGCTAAAATTATTCATTGTTTTTCAATCCAGAAACTTACCAGAGGGTGATTCGTAGTGTTGATGGCGAGGGTGGAACAAGCGGTAACACCAATCCGGAGGATGGCAACAACAGTGGTGATGAGGAGGTCAACGACGGTGGTAGCAAGGCCGATGAGGAGGTCAACGACGGTGGTAGCAAGGCCGATGAGGAGGTCAACGACGGTGGTAGCAAGGCCGATGGCGAGGGCAGCAACAGTGGTAGCGACAACAATGAAGATGGCAAAGGCAGCACCTCTGACAACTCTGGAGGGGACGGCAGCAACAGTGGTGATGATGACTCGAGTAAAAGTGAAGAGGGGTCTGACAGCTACTCCGATGAATGGTGCTCAGAGGAAGACTCAAGTGAAAGTGTTGAGGACAGCGGCAGTGAAGGTAGTAACAGCAAGGACGAAGAGAGCCAGAGTGGAAGTAATGAGTCCGATGGCAAAGAGGGGGATCCTGAAGTACCATCAAATGAAAGCAACAGCGGAGGAGATGAACCTAAGGTTGCCAGCCCTCCGGAGCCTGAGCCAGAGTCAACTGGAAGCAACGACGAAGAAGATAAAAACTCTGGGGATGCCAGCCCTCAGGTGCCTGACGCAGAGTCACCTGAAGACCCTGCGAGTGCTGAGAGCAACGAAGCTGTGGCGTAAAACGTAAATTAGCATTATGAGAAGGATCAATAAGCTGCATTTATATTAATAATCATAATTTATTACTTTATTAGCACATCTTTGCAAGATTTTGATATGGGATGTCTATATGTAGTGGGTTCTGTATGTATTAACCCAGGCACACGTGTTATTCTGTCAATATGGAGTGAGTGTTTCTGAATACCTAAAACAAAGATATTGCACTGTAGTAGCATATATTCTGTTGCAGACTTTAATAAATAAATAAATCCGTAATTAAAAATATAATGGTCTTGTGTGTTCAAGTTTGAAACAAAATGTGTGTAAATGATTGGTGGTGGTTGGAGGGGCAGATGTGAAGTTCTTTGGGTGTCACGATGGGTGCAAGGCAACAGATGACAAGAACTAATACTTACATACTTAAGTGTCAAGTGTTTTTTTTTTTTTTTTACAAATTACAAAGTACAGGTTAGCAGTCTACAGATTGTTAAATTAGAACCATTAGATTAGAGGAAAAGATAAAACCTTTCTTCTCTTTCACCACAAATAAAATAAAACTAATAAATACACAAATAAAAATAATACTAAACGCAGCCCTCACACTATTTTTACGTGGTTCTCAGGTAAATGGGACAAAGTTACCATAAGCCAGTGCTTCTCGATTATTTTCTGTCCCCTCATCACTCCACCAATCTTGTACAAACTGTGCCCTCGCCTTCAGTCGCCTACATACGAGAGCAAACGTTTTAGTCGCATGTCCAAAGCGACTCCCGGGACACACGCAGCACGTGTCTCTACGTATTCCTGCGTCATGAGGTGATCCACACCCGCACTCCTCGTCTTTAAAGTTGATGTCCGTGTTATAGTTCGGCAGCATCAGCTCCTCTGCTGTTTGGTACGCCACCTTGTATGATGTTAAGAGTGCTCGCTGGTTTATTGAAGCAGCATTTACAAAGCAGGAAGATTGTTGCAATATTCGGCACATTTTCACTGAGAAAACTCAAGCGGCTTATCAGCGTGATTGGGGTGTAATGTCTTTCATTTATTTGGCTTCATGCTGTCTGCTGCCAACATTTTTAGACACAGTAAACACAGCGATCTTTCCTCGTTTCCCACCGTAGTCACAGTGAGGCCAAGCGCTACAAACACATCACATACAGTCAGAGTACAAATTATGAGTAACTGTATTCAGTTACAGTTACTGTTTTAATGAGTGGTAATTGGATTACAGTTACTTTGTTGAAATAAATGGATTACATGGCGGGATTTTCCTGTTTTCACATTTGGGGCTTTATCCCCCTTTTTTTTTTCCGGTAATTCCACTCATGGCCGGACACTAAACCAGGTCTAAAACCAGGTCCAAACCAAGACTAAACCAGGTCTAAACCAGGTCTAAAACCAGGTCCAAACCAAGACTAAACCAAGACTAAACCAGGTCTAAACCAGACAAAAACCAGGTCTAAACCAGGTCTAAAGCAGGCCTAAATCAGGTCTAAACCAGGTCTAAACCAGGACTAAACAAGGACTAAAACCAGGTCTAACCAGGTCTAAAACAGGTCTAATTTAACAGGACTAAATCCTGCTGTGTGGACGTGTCTCCTCCTCTTCTATCAATAATGTTTTTAGTACGGTTCAGTAAAGTCTGGGCTTTTCATTTTCTTTTAGATAAAACTTCTTATGTGAAGATTTCCTCGTCTTTGCTTCTTTACAGCAAATCAAGTAATCCAAAGTATTCAGATTACTTTACTCACTTTAAGTAATTTAATGGATTACATTACAAACTACATTTTGGGGTATGTAATCTGTAATCTGTAGGGGAATACATTTTAAAAGTCACCTTCCCAACACTGCATACAGTTTGTTCAGATCTCCTGCTCTGAACTGTGGGTGTGTTTGCTCAGTGCACTTACACTTTATTCTAGGACAGCAAAAAAAAAACCAAAAACCCCAAGGTCACAGATGCCCCCTTTCATCGCACCACCACACTATTTGAGAAGGACTGCCATAAGAAGATCTTTTTACTGTAACTTAAAAATATATCATACCTCCAATATCAAACCATGTTCAGTCTAACCTGTGCTGAATACACCCATTTTAATTACTGGGTTTTAGGGCGTTTCATTTCATTTAATGTAATAATTTGATTATATAGCACCACTAGGCATGTTGAGCAGCTGTCTACGGCCCTAGATCAGGCTATCCCACAGAAAAATATCATATGATAGACTGATTGACAGACAGAAACGGCCCCCGTTATACCCCCTGACTCCTCCCACTGAGCAATATATAAAAAACACTACAGAGACAAACTATTTCACAATAAACTGACCTTGTCTATTCTACATTGAGCAAACAGTGATAATGTACATTTAATGTCAAAAATAATGGCTTAATAACGTGCAGAAAAGCATTTTACATAAATGGTCAGCACCACGGCGTGAACAGCTCCTATTTCAACTAACAGGAAATGGTGGTTTGGTTTGGCAGAGACGCGTCGCATCGGAGGAGAGAGAGACGGTGTCATGGGACAGGTAGGAGCTGGAATGTACGAAATAAAGTATTCTAAGGTGCTCAAGTGTGCACACTTGGTGAATTAGTAGCCCACGGTTATGTGTAGGGGGAAAACTCCACCTAAAACTATAGACGGACTAACTCCATCACACTCCTGTAAGTTTATTAGAGCTGCCAGAGCAGCTTGAAATGAAAATGATCTGACATATTTGTTTCTGTGTACTGTATGTATGAGAGTTTTGCGTCTTTGTCAGTGTAGATGAAAACGCTACAGCAGAGTGTGTTCAACTATTCCACTCTGGAGGGTGGTTTCAGATTTTGCGTTATTAAGCCCCAAAAACGCCGTCACCGTTGGAACGAAAGGCACTTCTGATAAAATATTTTGTCATTTTTACCCACAAGTGTTCTTGTGTAAACAGACCCTGAGATCCTTCTTTTTCAGGGGAGTCCTGGCCACACAGAGAACCAGACTGTACATGTTTATAGTGGGAGGGGAATCTGAAGCACCCAGAGGAAAACCTGCACAGACAAGGGGAGATGCAAACTCCACGCAGAAAAGCCCCATAACACTTCAGAATCCACTAACCGTTTTGTCACCGTGCCGCTGATAATGAGGTTGGGATTCCCTCAGTCGGCTGATGGGAGCGTGGGGGGGTGAGGGGAGCATTAATTATGTGAGACACTAACAAACTCTACCTCTGAGGAAATCACCCGCAGCACAGGGACAATTAGAGCCGACACAGGGGGCAGCAGGGAGTGTAAAGAGCACCAGACCAAAGCAGGGGTCTAAACTCTAAAATCAAATCTAAAATCAGCATCCTACGATCTAATGGATGTAAAAATATTATGCTAAAAAGTTTTTCTTGTAATAAACTAAAATTTCATCTAATACATTTAAATCTTGTGTGCTGCCTGCATCTAATTATTCTCCATGAACCAGGAAGTGGCACTGTTAGCATGCTAGTTGTTGTTGGCACAGTAACAGCAAAAAATGTAGAAAAGAGCTCAGAAAGTCATCGGGGTGAATCATTGGGTTGTTATGAATGTGCAAGGAGAGCGAGGAATACGTTTGGATCACTGCAAACAGCAGACAGGAGCAGACAGGAGCAGACAGGAGCAGACAGGAGCAGACAGGAGCAGACAGGAGCAGAGCCAGAGGAGCAGAGCCAGAGAGCAGAGCCAGAGGAGCAGACATAAGCAGACAGGAGCCAGAGGAGCAGAGCTGTTCTCTTTCTTTTTAACAGTAATGATCATTAGAGCAGCTCATTTAGATGTTGTGAAGTAAAAGTTTGATTTTCCAAACCCAACCCTTAGGACACAGACACAGTTAAAAAACCTTTAACATAATGAACTTGTGTCCAATCAGAGAGCAGGATTCTCCCAGGACCACGAAGGAAAAGTGTTTAAATACGACTGAAGGCAGGATCATTAAAGAAGACCACACGCCTATGAGAATATTAGCAGTTTATTTTACAAACAAGATCCACACTGAACAGGTGAGGCTTTATTCAGTTGAGTTGTAAATGTGTAACAACTTTTTTTTTTTTTATATCATGTTGTGTTGATGTTATTATGTTGGTGTGTGGAAATTCATATACTTGATTTTGCTCCTGGTTTTGGGACAGTACTAGGTTCAGTGAAAACTTTACTCTGAATGATATAAATATAAATATATATATATTCCTCTAGTGTTTTCTACTGTATACATGTGTTTTTCTCTTTTGCTTAACGTGTATTTCTGTATTTCCTGTGTCTCTGATTTCATTTCTCATCACATGTACAGTATGTTTGCGTGTGCAGTGTGCATAACCCTTGTACTCTTCTTCTCAGTTTCTCTTCTGTCAGAACATTCTGTGCAAGATGCTGACCTCAAAGCAGTACCCCTCCAGGCCTGTAGGAGCAGCAGCATGTTGAACCAGTCAGACTTCCACTTCCTGGCGTTCCCGTTCCCGCTGTGGAAGTGCGGCCTGATCGCTCTGCCGCTGGCCTTGGTCTTTGGACTGGTGATAGTAGCAAATGGCTGTCTCCTGCTGGTTCTCCTCTGTGTGGAGGCTCTGTGGAGTCCCATGTACGTCCTGGTGGGGGCGCTGTGTCTGGTGGACCTTCTCTCTGCTCTGGTCATCGTTCCAAACGCGCTCCTGGTCCTGCTCAACCCCAACCACAGCGTCTCACTGACCGAGTGTCTGACACAGATGTTCTTGACACACTTCCTGTCGTCACTGGAGTCTACACTGCTCCTCGCCATGGCGCTGGACCGCTACGTGGCCATCTGCCACCCGCTCAAGTACAGGTGAGCCCTGCCAGCTCAGGGACAGGTGAGCCCTGCCAGCTCAGGGACAGGTGAGCCCTGTCAGTTCCGGGACAGGTACATTTTCTCCATTTGAGAGGAACATGAGCACATTACAGTAAATCAACAGTGGATACAATAATGTGTGTGAATGGCTCAGCTTCAGATTTCATTCTAGTTTTATAGCTGCTGTTTGCCACAATGATATTTGTATATTTTATACAGAGGATATCAGTTTGGTCACCACTCCCTCCATTGCAACTTGAGCCACATTCAGACAGTATTGTGTGATCAGATTTGCATATTGCGCATGTGAAACGATCTTAATCAGAACTCAGAGTGTTGTGCCTCCCTCACTGATTCCACAGAAATCTAATGTTTTTCAGTCCTTGTGATACTTTTTTGTTTTCTTTGTAAAAAACATGTTTCTTTTACCCGTGCATAATGATGTTTTACTCTTGTCATGTGCTTTACACTGCACATTATAACT